ACCGCTCACAATAATGGATTTCTTCCATATAAAGGAAAATCTATATGGAAATAAATTTTGTCTCGTGTCACCTCTATTACAAATCTTCAGAGAAGAACTGAGAGACAGAGGCAATTTACAACTATATGAGTATATAAAAGAAGACCAGGGCACAGGTTTGCAGAACTAGCTTGCCGTTAGCCATGCCATTTTCTGCCAATGCACTCCTTGACTTGCTCCAGCTAGCACTCATGCTGGCAATGACAAGAAACACTCTAAGGAAGAACAATCATCAAGGCTAGGGCTCAAGACCAAAGAACAATTTCTACTTACTTGTATGGATGAAGTCAAAAGACCATGAATCAGATATGATAAATGACCCGAGTGCCTTAAGCACTGAGGTGGGACTCCCACTACTAAAGCCCAGATTTTGATCAGTGACATACTGAAGTAAGAAGAAAATTGGTTATGAGAACATTTTTCTTCCTATTTTAGGGGTAAAAAAAGGTAGAGTTTGCATATGTACCAATGTGCTGTTGCTCCCAGACAATGATGTGACAGAGCAGACAATCAAAGCTCAAGTATTGGTTCTGCACCTGAGCCATAACTGCACAACCTTCTCCAAGCATCATAACACAGATCTTCCCATAATATAACTCAGTAGAGTTAGGTAGAGCGAGGAAAGTAACATCAGTTAACATCAGTTGAGGCTGAGCGCATGATTTGCAACCCCTCTCCTAAAGAGATCAGTAATCTAAAATTGCATTGACAATGCAGGGTTAAATGAGGGCAGTAAAATAGGCAGAGCTGTATCCCTCTGCACTTGCACCAGTAATTCCCTCCTGACTTCAATTGACAACTACCAATTTTCTCAAATGAATGCTAGGAAAAATAGACTTTATAATTACCTCCTGCCCCCATCAACTCTCTATCATTTAGCAGATATTACAACATATAAGTGTCTAGTATGAGCACATGGATACAGCTAGTGCAGAGGGGGCAACAGGACAGGAGACTAAGTTTTATGGAAACTGAGTCCTACTTAAGATTTTTTGGGCAGTTACAGGTACATACTAATGCTCCATTTGTGCTGCATTATTATGGGAAGGTCCCAAGAATACAGAGGCATGGAGAAGTTGTAGGGAGCACATAGAAGCAGTATTACATGGCTTGTACCCAAATACATACATTGGTGCTATCCTTAGAGGTTTAGGGACATGTCAATCAGACTCACAGGTCAATCAATCTCTAAATATCATACCGACCTCTGAAGGCACATGAAATGGCTCAACTTCCACTTCTGTTGAGTTCATCTTATCTGAAGGAGAAGCTGACTTTCGATCCTCTCCTGCTTTCTCAGTTTTGTCTTTTCCTTTGGGTGCTTTGAAGTCTTTATCTTTAGATGGCAATTTGATATCCTTGATAAAATTTGAAAACTTCGACTCACGAGCTCCTCCTGAAAGTATCTCCACAGCAATCTCAATGAACAGACGTCCCCTGAAGGAGACCCCTTCTCCAAAACCTTCATTAAGCTCCTGGTAGTCATCCATAAGGCTGTGATTCCTGGGTGAACCATAGAGATTGATCCAGGCAGGTCCAAAGGTAGGCAAAAACCCTGGAGACAAAGCGCATTTTGTGGCATTTCCATTAGGTGGTAGCACGCTCTCCTCACTGTCTGCTCCAAGAAATCTTGCAAGTCACTCACCAAAAGCCAAACCTGGACCCATTTCCATGCAGGTGGGGACCACTTCATACAAAAGCACTGTTTTGCAGGGCAGTTCTTAGGCACCAAGCAGCCTCTGTCAATACCCAACCAGGGACTCTGCCAATATGAAGCTCTTCCTCAGAAGGCATTTGTACCACACGTGCTGGGGCATCAGACCTATTGCACCTCTTGAAAAAAAAGAGCTTGCTCCCACAGACAGAGGACTCAGACAAGGTGGGAGAGGAACAGCGGTCTTCTCACCTTGTACAAACTGTTCCAAATACTGTGCCACTACTCATCATATGTGATTTATCTTTTATTTTCCAATTGAGGACTCAGATCCACAATTGAACTGCCAAGTTTAAGGAGTTACAGTGCCTTTCACAGAATCACAGAATATTAGGAGTTGGAAGGGACCTCAAAAGATCACCTAGTCCAACCCCCCTGCCAGAGCAGGATCACCTAGACCAGGTCACACAGGAACACGTCCAAGCGGGTTTTGAAAGTCTCCAGAGACGGAGACTCCACAACCTCTCTGGGCAGCCTGGTCCAGTGCTCTGCCACCCTCACAGTAAAAAAGTTATTCCTCATGTTCAGGTTGAACCTCCTATGCTCCAGCTTGCTCCCATTGCCCCTTGTCCTATCATTGGACATCAGAGAGAAGAGCCTGGCTCCTTCCTCCTGACACTCGCCCTTTACAAATTTATAAACATTAATGAGGTCACCCCTCAGTCTCCTCTTCTCCAAGTTAAAGAGACCCAGCTCCCTCAGCCGCTCCTCATAAGGGAGATGCTCCACTCCCTCAATGATCTTTGTGGCTCTGTGCTGGACTCTTTCAAGCAATTCCCTGTCCTTGAACTGAGGGGCCCAGAACTGAACACAATATTCCAAATGCGGTCTCACCAGGGCAGAGTAGAGGGGAAGGAGAACCTCTCTCAACCTACTAACCACAGCCTGTCGTGATAACTAAACATGTTCTGCACTTGAATCACACAGTATAAATAAGTCTATACATGTTAGCTCCAACATCAGTGAAAAGATTCAAGGTAGTGAACTTTTCTTCACATATGTGAGGACAAACACACTTGTCCATGGTATTTCTGTGAGCTGTGATAGGACCCAGCTGAGCCCTACCTAGAAACTTTGCTTTTACTTAGTACATCAAAAACACAAGCCTGCTCTGCCTGTGATCTGCACTTTGTGCTTTCATTGCCAGACAGAAACTGGCACAACTATGAACTACATCAGTCAACCCTATTGGACTGAAGCAGACCGTTGCCACAGTCACAATGAAGGTACCAAATTATGTAGCAGTCCTGTAAAGAGAAAGGCAGTGGTAGACCACCATGCACCAAGCTCAATGTAATATAACTTCAAACTAAGCAAGAGAAGGTTTCTCAGAACCAACAAAAACAATGGATGTTCACTTGAACTCTGGGAGTTCCTAAAATGGGGATAGCCAGTGCTCAGATCCCAAGCAAGTAGATTATACCTTAAGGGTATACTCTGGAACAGACATTTTCCCTTTTACCTTTGTCACCATCTTGTTCATTTGATATTTTCTTCAAGTCAATGAAGTGTGTGGCCAAGGCCACATCATTCATGCTGCCTTCATCCCAGACCTGAATTTTGACTCTTCGACAGAGTGGAGGGAACATTTCCTTGAAGATAATCTGTTCATGCCATACTGGATCTGCACAGTTTTTTTGCACCGTTGTCCGGCCCTGAAATTAAAGTTCAGCAAATTTAACCCCAGAGGGGTCAGAGTGTGGAGAATGACAATAAGTATAGCAAAAATTGCACTTAGCAACATGTCTCTGGTCATTTTGAAAGCACAAACATCCTATCTTGAAAATACTTCGGCTTTCCTATTAGCTTGTTTAGCTCTCTGTATCTAATAAAAGACCACATTATGGCTAAAGTATTCTCACCTGCACACAGCAGAGCCTGGAATAAGATCTAATTCTTCAGGGCCCTTATGCGCAAAATGCATCTGTGGAGTCAGACTGGCATTTCTGCTATGAACTATACCTCTTCAAGTGGCTTTTGAAATACCCAGGTAGTAGTAATGCAGAAAAGATTAAATTCATTACAGCTGCCAGGCTGCATGTACCAATGGAATTACCTTAAATGGGGCAATTTATCTAGAATAAAATATGATTACTGTGGCTTGCATTCTGGGCATATGCCTGTGTGCTAGGGACGTAGAGACCAGAGCTGTTCCTTCTAGCCTGAAGGAGATGATAGGACCATATCGCAGTCCATGCAGCCACAGGCTCTGGCAGCAGTTCTACTTTCACATTTAGCAGGAAGACTCGAGTCAGGAAACCCACCCACAATACCTCCAAACCCACATTTTACACACCATCATGCAAACTCACATCAGTGACCCATTCTTACGTCTCCTTCAGCCCTCTATTAAGCTTGAAGCAGCTGCATGCTTTTGACCGTTTTAACTCATGCTAGTTTGAGATGTAATACTTTGCAATTTGGATTCATAACAAAAGACAAAATCAGCACCAAGGACCTCATTCTCATGCCTGAAACATCTGTAAAGGACTAACTGGAGTTGTCCCTAAAGCTTCCTTGTGCACAGAAAGTATTGTTGGCTTAAAATTGCTTCCAGTTTTATTCTTTGTTTATTTACACCAATAAACAAGACTAGCTTCTCAACACAGCATTTCATGGGTATATCCCAGAGGAACTGGAACTCTGAACCTTCTCTGCACTCCTCTTCTACCACAGTCAGTGGGTCCCTCTCAGCAGCTCTCTGTAGCACCATGCTGGATATTGAAGGAGCTCTGGGAGCAACAAAGCCAGGCAACACTGAGACAGAGCTTACTCAAATGCTTCCTCTTCTGCTACCCACAGAAAAGCTGAAAGAGTCCTTAATTACAGCAGAGTAATTTAGAAGTCAATACACAGCCATAAAATCCAGATTGAACTGTCTTTATTGGTTTCAATACTGCTTCCCTTTTTCACTCTAAAGAGACTAGAACATAGCACTTCCCTAATACCACTCTGGGTAATCCACTGTCTTGTAACTTGATGCTTTAGTAACAAATCTACAGATTTCTCTTTCCCCTACTGCTGTCTGACCCACTGCTGTGAGACTGATACTAGAACTCTTGGCATTAAGTCTTTTCAAAACTTTCTTCCTGCATAATTTAAGAACTGAAAATTTTATTTCTGATGAAAGAAATCAGTGTTTTACTTAATTTATGTAACTATAAGTTAAAGGACATCAGCATAATCACCTGCCTGTGGCAGAGCTAACAGGAAAGAAGGCCTACGTTTGTGATCAAGAGGATTCAAATTACCATTTGACCTGCAAACATGACCACCACATAGGGATCCACAAGGTCCTTACTGTCGCCTATGAATGCTTTGGTGACATTGGCCATGATGCTAGAGTTCATCTTTGGAAGTCCTTCTGCTTTGTAAATTCTCACATAAAATCTGGCCCATGGTCTTTCAGATGGAAAGCCTTTGGGGATCAAAAGATTCCTGAAAAAAAAGACATTTCCTTAAAATCAGAAACTCAGACAATGAAGTGATACTTTTTTCAAACAAAATTTTCATCTCAAGTTAGTTTGTGTCCTGAGAAGACACAAAAAGGTGTATGAATTTGCTTCTGCATCTAAAGCAAAGTATTTTCTGGTTACCACGAGAAAATGATACTGCATTACTCAGCAAACATGTCTGTGTGATAGAGGACCACAAAAGCACAGAACACGTAGGTTAGAGGTGACCTCTGAAGGTCATCTGCTCCAATCCCCTGCTCAAAGCAGGTCCAGCTAGATCAGGTTGCTCAGGACTTTGTCCAGTAATTCTGAATATCTACAATGATGGAGATTCCCCACTCTCTCTAGGCCCCTGTTACATGTGACTACCTCCATGGTAAAAAAAATCTTGTATCTGTTCCAAAATGTCCTTGTTATACCCTGCGTCCAAAGTCTGTCATCCTTCTATTATAATCATCTGAAAAGAGGATATCTCTGCCCTTTTTGTGTAAGATCCTCCTTAACCTGCTCTTCCTAAGGCTCAAGAAATCAGGCCTCCTTACACACACATCTTTCCCTGTAGACCAGCCCTCCATCATCTTGGTGGGCCTCCATGGACTCAGTCCAGTATGTCAGTACAGACCAGAAACATTGCTTCTGTAGAATTTAAAGTATGCTGGCAGCATACTTTACCACCTTGAACTTCTATTGACCCACGGAAAGAAGACTCCACAACCTGTAAGGTTGTAAAGTAGGTATGTTTATTAAGCGCTCTTGGCACACAGGGGAATCTTTCCTCCTAATTCGTGTGCACCTTCTGTGGCAGCTTGTCTTAACTTTTATACAGTAAAGTGTTGCATATTCATTATCATGCAAAACCAGCTATGCATATTCATAGCCTTTCCCCCAAAAGGCGGTCTTTTTCCTAGAAGTCCAGTCGCACCTGCGCAGTGCCTCCTGGTGGTCGTGGGCCGAGGTCTTGAGGAGTCCTTTTCCCTACTAAGCTCTTCACCTTTGTTACTTGTGCATGCTCCCTGGACCCTTGGCGTTTCTCCCAAAGCCGGCTGGATGTTGTTCTTGTTATCACAGAAGCTGTAAGAGCTTCAGGCAAGACATCTTTGGCATCCTGGGGTGTATCAGGAGGGGGGT